AAAATAACAATAATAAATGGGGGGAGGCAGAGTAATGTTTTAGGTTTTACTTAAAAACTAAAACACTAAATTATGACAGAATATTTTTTATTTAAACCAGATATATATAGATACAGCTACAGTTTTGTGGTTTTTTTAGAGTTGGAGTCTTATTCTATCACCCAGGCTAGAGTGCAGTGGCATGATCTCGGCTCACTGCAAACTCCACCTCCCAGGTTGCAGCAATTCTCTGCCTCAGCCTCCTGAGTAGCTGGGATTACAGGCACCTGCCACCGTGCCCAGCTAATTTTTGTATTCCATGTTGGCCAGGCCGGTCTTGAACTCCTGACCTCCTGATCCACCCGTCTTGGTCTCCCAAAGTGCTGGGATTACAGGTGTGAGCCACCACATCCAGCCAAGATATAGTTTTTATTTAAAAAGTAAAACAGCAAAAGATATATTTAAATTTTAAAGAAAAACCTGTACAAAAGCACTGAAATGGCTGAGGAGGACTGTGCTGAACAATTCTTGGGCACACATATATATGACAATTAATATTCTAGCCTTATCTATTAAACAGAAACCATTCCAAAAAAAGACATTTCTCTTACTTTTAAAGACTTCCAAATGAAAAAATGTTTCTTTTTTTTCATCTGTTAAGGACCCTTTTTTTAAATAAGAGTATCCACTTTTTATGTCACTAAGAAAGAGTAGACTAACCTGCCTTAGTTCATTCCCAGAGTATGGTTCTCAGCAAAAAACAGGACACTCAGCTGAGGTTTGTAGATAACTTAATAAATAAACTATCTACAGATGTGTGAATAGGGTTAAGAGATGTTACAGGGATGCTGAGCACTTTGAAACTTTTACCACCCCTAGGCCTGAAGCGGTAAAGTGGAGCTGGAGTGCATTAGTCCATTCTCACGCTCTATAAAGAAATGCCAGAGACTGGGTAATTTATAAAGAAAGGAGGTTTAGGACACAATGGCCCACATTTGTAATCTCAGGACTTTGGGAGGCAGAAACGGGCAGATCACTTTTGGCCAGGAGTTCCGAGAGCAGCCTGGACAATATGGTGAAACTCCAACTCTATTAAAAAATACAGAAAAAAAAAAAATAACTGGGCATGGTGGCGGCACCTGTAATCCCAGCTACTTGGGAGGCCAAGGCAGAAGAATTGTTTGAACCCAGGAGGCAAAGGTTGCAGTGAGCCGAGATCCTGCCACTGCACTCCAGGCTGGGTGACAGAGTGAGACTCAAAGAAAGAAAGAAAGAGAGAAAGAGAGAGAGAGAGAAAGAAGAAAGAAAGTGGCGGGGAGAGAGAGAATGAAAGAAAGAGAGAGAGGAAGGAAGGAAGGAAGGGACAAAGGGAGGAAGGGAGGGAGGGAGGAGGGGGTAGGGGAGGTTTAATTGACTCACAGCTCTGTATGGCTGAGGAGGCCTCAGGAAATTTAACAATCATGGCAGAAGGGAAAGCAGATACATTTTATGTGGCAGCAGGTGAGAGGGAAGTGAGAACACAGGAATAAACTACCATTTATAAAACAAAACACATCTCGTGAGAATTCACTCAGTATCACGAGAACAGCATGGGGGAAACCACCACCAGAATCCAATCACTTCCCTCCCTCAATCTACAGGGATTACAGGCCCCTCCTTCCACACGCAGGGATTACTTTGGAGATGAGATTTCGGTGGAGACACAGAGCCAAACCACATAATGGAGTAATGGAGAAGTTAGGGGAGTGGAAGCCAGTAGTTGCAGAGCTGCAGCCACAACCAGAACACAGGTCCACGACAGAGATGGAGAAAAGAAAGAAATACCCTAATCTCTCCTCTCTCCCCACTTCCTGCAACCCCTCGTTGGTGTTTGTTATCGCCTGAACCAACGGGAACTCGAGTAGAAGAGTATAAGAAAGTACAGTGCAATATAAGAAAGTCTATATAACACAGTTTATTGGGGTCCAACACCAGGAGAAAAAAGGAGGACAGGGAATGGTGGAAAATAAATCTGGAGAAGAGTAGGCAGGGAAGCAGAATTATCAGCCCAGCACTTAAGTGTCTTACCCATGAATAACCAGTAAAACAACCCATGTCCCATTTCTCTAAGAACCTTCTAAGAGATGTCACTGGGGAGTGTCATCCCAAATTCGATGGTGTTGGCCAGACATGATGCACATGTCTCCACATTGAGTTGCTACCTCTCACCAGAGCAGAAACAAGTTAAATCTCTAACAGAGCATTCTGATATCCTTACATTATTTTAGTCAATTATCAGAATTGTCCTACCTACTCTGCTTCATTCAAGCAACAAGTCACAACTTTTCTCTGAATGCCTACATTACTTTGAAAATTAGGTTGGTTTTTGTTTTTGTTTTTGAGATGGAGTCTCACTCTGTCACCCAGCTGGAGTACAGCCGTGCAATCTCAGCTCACTGCAGCCTCCACTGCCCGAGTTCCAGCGATTCTCCTGCCTCAGCCACCCTAATAGCTGGGATTATAGGTGTGCCACCATGCCTGGCTAATTTTTATATTTTTAGTATAATTGGAGTTTCACCATGTTGGCTAGGCTGGCCTCGAACTCCTTACCTCAGGTGATCCCCACATTTTGGCCTCCCAACCGTGCCTGGCCCAATATTAGGTTTTAACTAGATACTTTGTTGCAAGTCATAATATTTTATGGCAAAGTAGTTATATCCATTTTTGGAAAATCACTTAAATATTTTAGGATGACAACTAAATCCAACTCACATATGTGACATCATACTAACCAGAGATAAATGAGTGCTACAAAAACTATAGTATGAATTTAAAATATAAGCAGTTTCCCAGGCAAGGTGGCTCACGCCTGTAATCCCAGCACAAGGTGCGTGATCACCTGAGGTCAGGAGTTCCAGACCAGCCTGGCCAACATGGTGAAACCCCATCTCTAATGATAATATAAAAATTAGCCAGGCATGGTAAAACACGCCTGTAATCCCAGCTATTCAGGAAGCTGAGGCAAGAGAATCACTTGAACCCAGAAGGCAGAGGTTGCAGTGAGCCGAGATTGTGCCACTGCATTCCAGCTTGGGCAACAGAGCAAGACTCCATCTCGAAAAATTTAAAAAAAAAACAGTTTCTAAAAATCGCTTTAACCAAACATAAATATCTCATATAACTTAAAAGAGCAAACAAAGGAAAATAAAAAGAGCTATTTGATAGGAAAATAATCCAAATATACTTTAAGGTATACACATTATGTAAAAATAAGTTTTTCTTTCTATATATAAAAGATAGCCAAAAAATTAAAGTCATTACCATTTAGGCTACATGACACATTTGGATGATTTTACTCTGCATACAACAATCACTAAAATTGTACATTCCATGTCATACTTTTATTGACACATTAACAACTCAAGTTATCTTTAATTTTTCAGGTACAAAGTATCTCATGGACTTAGGGTCCTAGGAAAGAGGTATGATAGAATTATTTACTTTCAGAATGCTCTATATGAGAGTTCTGTTGTAGAAAGTGCAGCACAATGGTTAAGAGCATGAGCCCTAGAGCTACATGTCCAGCTGTATCAGCTGTGTGATTTATTTCAAGCATACTTAACTTCTTATGACTCAGTTTCTTCATATACAAAATGAGTAAATAGTTGTCTCATAAGTCTGGATTAAATATGTCAATTCAAATAAAATGCTTTCAGCAGTGTCTTGAATAAACACAGAACACACAGTAGCCATCGCTATAGCTAAGCTATCCCTCATGCCTAAGATTACTCCCGGGAAGCAAATTAAGTGATTTTGAGGGAATAGGATCTTTTGTGCCATACTTTCATTCTTTCACCCTACAAATTATCCTTACTCTCAATACAATAATTGATTTCAAAGGAGATCATACATAATGGTACACAGAAAAACTTACTGTATCAGGAACTGTATAAACAGACTTTAAAAAAAAAAAAAAACTTTAAACTCACAAGACTTTATTCTCTCCTTGCAGAGATAGAATGGTGGCTCCACAAAAGCATTAGTGACACCGGCTCATTCTATCTTCTCCATCATCCATAGAAAGTAGCTTTCATTCTCAAAGTCATCTCATGAACCAGGAAGATTGCTGAGCTCTGGCTATCGCAGACACAGTGGCTCATGCCTGTAATCCCAGCATTCTGGGAGGCCAAGGAGGTTGGATCACCTTAAGTCAGGAGTTCAAGACCAGCCTGGCCAACATGGTGAAACCCCGCCTCTGGTGAAAATACAAAAATTAGCTGGGCATGATGGTAAGTACCTGTAATCCCAGCTACTAAGGAGGCTGAGGAAGGAGAATCACTTGAACCCAGGAGGCGGAGGTTGCAGTGAGCTGAGATCCTACTACTGCACTCCAGACTACCTGACAGAGCAAGACTCCATCTCAAGATAAGTAAATAAATAATAAAAGAAAATAACAGTTAATTAGTAACTTAATTTAAAAATTAAAAAGAAGTGGGAGTTCCAGGTGAGCCCAGAAAAGCAATTTTGAAACAAAGCAAGCAAAGCAAACTGGATTGCTTTACTAGAACAAAATAACCAGAACTTTCGTTTTTCTACTTTCCACTTTTTGCATTTCTTTGTGATAAATCACACCACATTCTGCCAGGGATATCCATGTGCCTTGAGAACATTTAAGTGTATTATAGCAATTATGCAAATGAAAGGAAAAGTTCATATTCACCTACTGGGAGTCAAAATAGGATCTTTTTTTTTTTTTTTTTTATGGAACATATTTTTTATTTTTTATTTATTTTTTTTTTTTAATTTTTTATTGGATTATAGGTTTTGGGGTACATGAGCAGAGCATGCAAGACAGTTGCGTAGGTACACACATGGCAGTGTGCTTTGCTTTTCTTCTCCCCTTCACCCACATTTGGCATTTCTCCCCAGGCTATCCCTCCCCACCTCCCCCTCCCACTGGCCCTCCCCTTTTCCCCCCAATAGACCCCGGTGTTTAGTACTCCCCTTTCTGTGTCCATGTGTTCTCATTTTTCATCACCCACCTATGAGTGAGAATATGCGGTGTTTCATTTTCTGCTCTTGTGTCAGTTTGCTGAGGATGATGTTCTCCAGATTCATCCATGTCCCTACAAACGACACAAACTCATCATTTCTGATTGCTGCATAATATTCCATGGTGTATATGTGCCACATTTTTCCAATCCAGTCTATTATCAATGGGCATTTGGGTTGATTCCAGGTCTTTGCTATTGTAAACAGTGCTGCAATGAACATTCGTGTACATGTGTCCTTATAGTAAAACGATTTATAGTCTTTTGGATATATACCCAGTAATGGGATTGCTGGGTCAAATGGAATTTCTATTTCTAAGGCCTTGAGGAATCGCCACTCAAAATAGGATCTTAAAGCAAGTCTTGAAAGCTAGACTTAGTATTTTCTAAATTGATTTACTTCCAAGAACACGTCAGGAAAAAATCTCGAGGGCTCAGACCATAGGGCAGAGAGGGCATGGACGATGCACTCCTTTTGACTAAAATGGCTAGGCCCTGAAGCTTGCTGTATAAGGCACAGAATAGCAGTTCTCAAAGTGCAGTCCAGAGGACCCATGGGGATCCTCATGACCTTTTCAGGACATCTGTGAGGTCAAAACTATTTTCATAATGTACTAAAACATTTTGTGCTTTTTTCACTCTCAAACTGTCATGAATGGAAAATGGAGTTTTCCAGGGGCTACATTTTATATGAAATTCCAAATAATTGAATACAGAAGCAAATATGAGTTACTATTTAAGCTATCTTCTACTTAGCCAGACACTAAAGGGAACACTAAATATAAAATAATGTCCCTTTTTTCATCAATGGTGTTTTATTTTGAAAAATACAATCATCATTCATAAAATATTATAATTAAATATTTTCATTAAAATTTCTGCTTTAATTTCTTATATGGCAAATACTGATAACTATAACCCAAACAAATCAAATTTCTTTGGGGTCCTTGAAAATTTTTGAGAGTATAAAGGAGTCATGAAACAAAGAGGTGAATCACTAACATAGAAGCAGAAAGTCCATCCCATCCAGGTACAAAGTGTTATAGAAGAAAGATACTTGGATTTTCCTCTCTCTCCTCTCTCTCTTTTTTTTTTTTTCTCTCTCTCTCTCTCTCTCTCTCCCTCTCTCCCTCCCTCCCTCCCTCTCTCTCTCTCTCTCTCTCTCTCTCTCTCTCTCTCTCTCTCTCTCTCTCTACCCCCCCCATGCCCTGTATCCAAATCTTGAACATCCAGATAGGTATGGAAATGAAAAACTCAAGAATAATGAGAATACCATATATTAGAAGAAGGCTGAAAACAAGAATTCTCACATTTTTTTCTACCATGGACCACCTTAGGAAGTCTGATAAAAGTATATGGATCCATTCTTAGAATGTTTTTATATTCATAAAATAAAACACAAATACTTCCAAAAATATATGTTGAGCTACATTTTTCTATTCATATGCCCTTAAAAAAGTCCTGCACATGACCACTTCCAAAACACACAGAAAAATGTTGGAATAGCAATTGCAGGCAGCCGTGGATAAATACGCCTGGAACAATACCCGTGGTTTCCTATGACCAGTCCTTTTCAAAATGCACAGGATCCACATATGTCCAGGGAATGGATACAGAAGTGTAAGAGACCTGGGATTTAAAAAGAAGAAAGAAGATGAAGGAAGAAGAAGAAGGAGGAGGAGGAGGAGGAGGAGGAGGAGGAGGAGGAGAGGAAGGAAGGAAGGAAGGAAGGAAGGAAGGAAGGAAGGAAGGAAGGAAGGAAGGAGAGAAGAAGAAAGCAGCACCCGCAATTATATGGGGATACTTTGACACCTCAAAATAGCTTGGACCATGTACTCTAACAGCTGACTTCAGCATGTCAACTGTAGACTTCAGCGTATCAGACTTTAGCATATCAGCACCCTCTGCTGGGGGATGCTGATAATGGGAGACACTATGCACGTCTGAGGACAGGGGCAAATGGCTAATCTCTTTACTTCCCTCTCTATTTTGCCATGAACCTAAAACTGCTCTAAAAAAATTTTTTTTTTTAATATTCAGCATTGCTCCTGTTGCTCATCCCTGAGTCTATCTTTGGAATCACAAGACCAGAATAGGTCTCACTATACAGGTTCTCAAAGCAATCCGCAAGTCCATAGGCTTGTCTTCATTGACCATTCCCATATAACAACTGAAGTGGAAGAGAATGAGATCCTCCTGGGCACGTGCAATCATCATCTTGGATTAGATGCTCCATGTCCCAGATAAGAACCAACATTCATGGGCATAACTTCCTATTACCCACAAAAGGCTATCGAGTTATTTAGGAAAGCCCAAAGTTTTGGGCTCACATCAGGAATTTGTAGTTCTTCACAACTAGTCAAGGTAAATTTATCAATCAGAGTTACTTTTACTATAAACAACATTGCTAGTTACATAGTTGACATTCTGCCATTTACAGGTTTCTAGGGAAATGTAATTAGAAAGTTAATCTAAGTTAAATTTTGTCCACACAGAAAGAGAAAAAGTTTTGCTAACCTTCACTCATTTTTTTTTTTTTTTTTGAGATAGAGTCTCACACCATTGCCTGAACTGGAGTGTACTGGCACAATCTCAGCTCACTGCAACCTCTGCCTCCCGAGTTCAAGCAATTACCCTGTCTCAGCCTCCCAAGTAGGTGGGATTACATGTGCCTGCCACCACACCTGGCTAATTTTTTTATATTTTTAGTAGAGATGAGGTTTCACTATGTTGGCCAGGCTGGTCTCAAACTCCTAACCTCGTGATCCACCCGCCTCGGCCTCCCAAAGTGTTGGGATTACAGGCGTGAGCCACTGCATCCAGCCCACTTATTCTTTCTATGTACCCTTTCCTAACATTCCATTAAACACCCTTGAAGCCACTAAAGAAGGTGAAAACTCACATCAATATCAAAAACTAAGACTAATAGATATTCCAATGCTGAATCTGAAAGAAATAATCCTTACTCTAAGACAGATGGAATTTTTCTGTGAAAAGCACTTAAACTCTGCTTCATGAAACAGAGATTGCCTGACAAGTAGTAAGAAAATAATGCATCCTTTCCTGCTTTCTGTTTCTGTACGGCATCTCCACCAAACAGAAATTTAGAATGCTATTCTTCTTTTTAAAAAGGGCCAGTCCATGTGTTGACTGTGTCTCTCCTCCCTAAGTTGAAAGACAATTCTCCAATGGTCTCTTGTGTTTCTGTATATCTCATGAAGAGGCACTGACAGCTTTTGTTTCGGACTACCTTTTCAAGGATGTATGTATGGAAAACAGTCTTAGAAGATAAAAAGTTGAGTCTCCCTCTAGAGCAAAGCATATATTTGTTTCCTGACCAAGATAGTAAATGTGTCTCTAATGAAATATTTTCTTGAAAACTGACCTAATAGAAAAGAGATATCATAGTCCTCACTTTTAGGAGCAAGGAAGGTAATAAACAAGCTGATTTGTTTTACAAATCCCAGAAAGTTTCAGGAATTGGAGGCTCCAGATACATCTGAAGGCAAAGTATAGAGGTGAGCAGAAAACAGAAGAAATGGTTAAAAGTCTGTATTTTTAAAACAGTCATTTCTCAGTCCTCTTTTCTTAGCCCATAATTTGAAGGCACTTTTGCAGCTGAGGGATTAGTTGTCATCTGAGAAGAGGTTATTAATTGAGTCTTTATACTAAAATGTGACACCCCTAACCCTCTTCCCCAGTTTGTCTCACAGAACACCAGCAGACAGGTTTATACTCAGTGCTGACTGCTCTCTGTTTGCCTCTCCTGGTCCTTTCTCTGTCATTTTCTCCCTGGCTCTGAGAAACTGACTTCTGTGGACTGTATCACCCAGGCTCTCTTAGCCTCTGGCTTTCATTTGGATTCAGCCAATGAAAGCCACCAGCATAAGATCGAGGGTAAAAGGAGAGATGGGTTTGGGCTTTTATTCTCTTTCTCCTCTTCCCCTGCCATTTTTGGCAGTTACTACATTTTTCTACTTTCAGACACAGCAACTGTTAGATGACCTTTCACATACAACTACAGATCACTCCAAGTCCATTACACTGTTAGGCCTAGGAAAGGTAAAGGCTTCCAGCTGTTTTTAGTCCTGGAGTATTTTACCATCTCTTGATTGTTCCTGTTTGTGAAGGTTTGCAATGTTTTCCTCATTAAACTCTCTTCAAGGAATTCTTTCATTGCTCTTTGCAATTTCCTCTTTGAGTGATCCATCTTTTTCTTACAGGCCCACAGAGTCACATACCCTCTAGCAACTTTGCAGGATGCCTCTGCTGAACCGGCCTGAACAAGCCCGAGAAAGGCCTACAAGATGTTTATTTCTAAGCAAAAGGGGCATGAATGATCATAGGCATGAAGCAGTTAATTGTGTTCTGGGAACTATAAGTGCTACTGGGTGTTCCATGTAGTAAAGTGGGCAGTGAACGCAGAGTAGGCCCAGAAAAAGACAAATGCCAACTCAAAGAGTATCTTGTAACTCACATCAAGGATCTTGGCGTTTACACTGTAGGCTCTGCAGAGGCACTGAAGGATTTCGTTTGAGCTTCAATCAATGCTGGAATAAAAATGAAGGAAAATGTTGATGTAGGCAAGGCTAGAAGATGAAAGACACGATGACATGACAGAGACAAACAACTGCAATGGTTTCAATGAGAAATATTGGAGGCCATGATTCAGACAGTGGTGAAGGAATGGAGGAAATGGACAAAAAATTAGTGGCTATTGGGGGCAGAATAGGTGAATGAGGGAATGGGGGGAAACAGTCCAAACTGGTTTTTGGGCCTCTGACTTAGCAATGGATAAACAGCCTTTCACTGAGATAAACTGCAGAAGAAATGCAGGCAAAATTGTCCATGAGGCGCAAGGAAAGAACTTCCCTTCAACCCACTGTCAGTGTAGAGAACATTGAACTCTTGAGTCTTCCCCTACCTCAGTGAGGGAAACCAAATCCGGATCCACAGCGAAATAAAAACAAAAACAAACAAACAAACAAAAACCGAGCAAATTTGCCTTTGATCCTTAGCATAGTAGTAGGCAACAGGCAAGACCAGAATAAAAAGTTCCCTGTGCAGATACCCATTTGACCACAAGATGGCATCAGAGCTAAGTTGCAGGAAAGCCCTACCTCAGAACCTACCTCAGCTTAACTGTTTTTGTTTGTTAGCAAGGAAGGGCTATTCACTGGCAAAAATCATGGCTGAAAAGAGACATTTGGAATATTCTAAAACAAATTATACAGACTATACAGTATGGTCTAGGAGCTGGGAGGATGGCACGTGATGAGACGACTCAAGATTTAAGCAGGTGCATCACACACTAGGGTCTGTAGGGGTGAAATAGGGGAGGGACAGCAGAAGGTAGGGAGTTGGGGAGGGATAACATGGGGAGAAATGCCAGATATAGGTGATGGAGAGGAAGGCAGCAAACCACACTGTCATGTGTGTACCTATGCAACAATCTTACATGTTCTTCACATGTACCCCAAAACCTAAAATGCAATAAAAAAATAAATAGTCAAGCAGGTGCTTGTTAAATTGGACATCAAGGGCTATGGGAGAGCAGGTATCACATAAGCAGACAACTTCAATATAAACCACAAAGTCAGCTGGGCACAGTGGCTTACACTGATAATCCCAGCACTTTGAGAGCCCGAGGTGGGTGGATCACGTGAGGTCAGGAGTTCAAGACCAGCCTGGCCAACATGGTGAAACCCCATCTCCACTAAAAATACAAAAAAAAAAAAAATTTAGGCATAGTGGCAGGTACCTGTAATGCCAGCTACTCAGGAGGTTGAGGCAAGAGAATCGCTTGAACGTGGGTGGCAGAGGTTGCAGTGAGCCAAGATCCCACCACTGCACTCCAGCTTGGGCAACAGAGCAAGACTCCATCTCAAAAAAAAAAAAAAAAATACAAGGTATGAAAGGTGATCCAGATTTTGGGAGGCTGAGGCAGGTAGATCATGAGGTAAGAGATCGAGACCATCCTGGTCAACAAAGTGAAACCCCGTCTTTACTAAAAATACAAAAATTAGCTGGGCATGGTGGTGCGTGCCTGTAGTCCCAGCTACTCGGGAGGCTGAGGCAGGAGAATTGCTTGAACCCAGAAGGCGGAGGTTGCAGTGAGCCAAGATCGTGCCATTGCACTCCAGTCCGGGTAACAACAGCGAAACTCCATCTCAAAAAAAAAAAAAAGAAAAAGAAAAGAAAGGTGATCCAGAAATTAGGTCAATTGATATAACAATCAGAAACAAGAACAAAAACACTAGCAGGTTTATGTATCACCAGGCATGACCTCAAGCCTCACCCCAGGTGGTTGTTGAAAAGGCCCAGGTATCCTCAGGTCAAATATCAGATTAGACATAGGCATTCTGCCCTCTTGGCCGTTAATAAATACCCCTGCAAACACTGCAGTTCAGTCACTCACTGTGGAACTAGATGAGTTAGCAAGAAAAATACCATGTCACTGTTGGCATCTCATTCCTTCTTCCCCAAAATTATATGTCCTAGGAGTCATCTCAGCATGGAGAGGAGCTAGAAGCAGCAGGAGTAGAGTGAGACTGTGTCATTTCCCCCCGAGATTGGGAAGGGGGTAGAATATTGTGATTTCTTTGAGAGTCAGGAACCTTCAGGGGCAGATTAGGCCAATATATTTTCAAAGTAGTCACTACTTAGAGAGAGAGAGGTATTTGACATACCACATTCAAAAGCAGGAACTACAAAAATCAAGCCATCTCCTATGTATTTCCTAATAATTTAAGACTCTTTAATAAAAGAGTTCCATTTATTTGAATTCAAGCTAGTTTCAGTATGCCTTTTGTACCCATTAGTATGAATTGACACGGGAAAACACAAATTTTATGAAGCTACATCAAATAAATCATAGATGCCCCCACATTCCCAGCTCACTTAATTTTTAGCTGTAACTAAAATATTAGTTATAATCGGCATTACAGACATAGTTACTGTTAATAACACCAGGCCTCCCATATCACCCTAACCTCAGCCTACATGCAGTTGAACTATCAATAACTATTTCATCAATTTTCAAGTTGCCTAGAAATGGGCTATATCTCTGAATCATTTATACTCTAAATCTCACATGGCTACCTCCAAACCTTCCAGTTCTTTTTGCTTAATTCTTACTGTCTTCAGGTTCCTCAAAACTTCTTGTCTCTTGATCCTTCTATAATAATACTCCTAATAGCCTTCCCTTGCCTTTATTTTTTATCGCCATTCATCCAAAAATTTTTAAAAGTCTGTCATTTAAACTCACCTAAGTATATCTTTATAACTCCTATGTATTCTTTTCATTCTGCTATATCCATTCCAAAATAACTCTAGGCCTGGATTAATATTTTCCCTTACAAAATTTATTAGAAACAAAAATAGTCAATCCTGTAAACTGGTGCAAATGCAAATCCCAACTCCAACTTTAGCTCGATTCTCAATATACTATAGCAATCTATCTGTTTCTTTCAAGAGAATTCTCTCCCATTTTCTAATAACTGTTCCGAAATTTGTCACCAAGCAATCGTGAGGATTAAGTACTTCAATACCTGCTAACTTAATTTTAGCCAATGATCTCCCTTCCTTACTTCACTGACAAAAACATAGGCCATGAAAAGAGTTTAACATGAAGACTTTTCTCTACCTAAAACACTCATGTGCATCTCTACCAATAGTTCCTCCCAGCTAGTCATTCTAAACAAATGTCCCTCTGTTTGTAATAGGCTGACCAGGGGCGGTGGCTCACACTATAATCCCACCACTTTGGGAGGCTGAGGCGGGTGGACCGGGAGGTCAGGAATTTGAGACCAGCCTGGCCAACATGGTGAAACCCTGTCTCTACTAAAAAGACAAAAAATTAGCTGGGCGTGGTGGCACATGCCTGTAATCCTAGATACTCAGGAGGTTGAGGCAGGAGAATCACTTGAACCTGGGAGCCGAGACTATGACACTGCACTCCAGCCGGGGCAAAAGAGCAAGACTCCCCCTCAAAAAAAAAAAAAGGCTAACAATTCATTAATCTTTGCTCAAAGAAAAAAAATAATCTCAGCTAAGTCAAAGGCAAGTCCTTCTAACTCTGGAGATAAATATTTCCTTAGTTCCAGCTGGTCTAACCTCTTTCTCTCTCCTTCCTTTTACATATTTCTTGGGGAACAAATATCTTTGTGTCTGTCTCCAGGTGCTCACCTCTTGATTACACTGTGACTACCATAACCAAGCTTCTGCCCTATGAACCTGCTGTCCCCAAGGTCCCATGATTGCTAAATCCAAAGAATATACTTTAACCTTTATTACATTTGCGTTTTGGGCAGCATTTGACATTAGAGAAAAAATAGTTTCAAATCGCAGATCTGTAATAATAACAATAACAACTACCATGTACAAAGTACCTGATAAGTGCTAAGTGTTTTATACATGTTGCCTTATTTAAGCCTCACAATGATTCGATCTCACTAATGAGAAAATAGAGATAAAGAAACTTGCCAATAGATATACAGAGAGTGAGACAAAGAACTGTTTTTGAATCAGGGCTGACTTTAAAATCCATTCCCTTAATGACTATGCTATTTTCAGACCTATGTAGCATGCTGCCTACTGGCCAGTCCCTCTTAGATGTTTCAAGGGAAATTCAGAATGACCAAGCCTAAAACTAAAGCTATCTTCTTAACCCCAAACAAACCTTTCTCCAGTATTACCTACTTCTCTAAATGATACCATTATCCATCAAATTGCCCAAATCAGAAACAAGAAGATTTTCTTCAAAAATTTTCCATCTTTCAAGTCCTACATCAAACTGATCATTTAATTCTGTCAACTACATTACCTTAACTTCTCTCCAATCTGCCTGTCTCCACTTTCCGAGCTTTGGATGAGGCCCTGATCATGTCTTGTCATGACAACTATGAAAATTTCTGAGACGGAATTCTCATCCACAGTGTCATCCCCTTCTAATCAATTCTCCACAGACTGTCAAAGTGATTATTCTCAAGCTCAAATGTTGGTGAGAATGTAGACCACCTGGATCACTCCCATACTGCTGCTGGTGGGAAAGCAAAATGGTATAGCCACTCTGGAAAATAATTTAACAGTTTCTTTAAAGCACTAAATACTTCTCATGTCACCCAGAAACAGCCATCCTGGGCATTTACCTCAAAAATGAAAATTTAGTCTACATAAAAACTTACATATGATTTTTCATAATAGTTTTATTTGTAATAGCAAAAAACTGGAAATAATCAAAATGCCAATCAATAGATGAAGGGTTAAACAACTTGTGAGTACATCTGTAAATAAAATGAACAAACTATTGATATACACAACTTGGATGCAAGTGTATTATACTAAGTGGGGGAAAAAGCACCCATCTCAAAAGGTTACATGTATGATGATTCTGCTTATACAACTTTCTTGAAAGGACAAAATTAGAGATTAAATCCATGGTGCAGTAAAATAGACACTTACAATTTACCATCACAGAGTACTACCTGAAACAACGACCCAAGGAACCTGACTTTGTTTTATGTAACTTGAAACCTATTCAGCATGAAAA